TACGTAAAAATATGAAATATAAGTGAAAACGATGTAATGTCAATACTTCTCTATTGATTTATAGAACATTTTATTGTTTATGAGTGAAATAAAATAAAATAAAATGAAAATAAAAACAAATATAAATATGTAAAAAATTAAAGTTGAAAAATATTGTTATCCTGATAATAATTATGAACGTACAAAATTACTTAGTACAAAAACGATTCGAACAATTATTAATTGTTATAAATGAAATAAAATTAATAACGGTTATGGTTGTGTAATTTATTTATAATCATATTAAAATAATCACTATACATTGTAATAAATATATAAAAAACACGTACATTCCAAACGAGTCATTCGATGCTATAGTCATACTATTCAAAATAATTATACGATAACATCTTATTTAATTTTAGTAAGCTATAAATAATATGAAAACACAAGAAAATAAGTTATAAAATTTTGAAGGTCACGCATTCTAATTATTTAAACTGCTAATTCACGTTGTAATGCAAGAATTACAAGTTTCTATAAAAAATAAAAATTTAAATTAGAAATTTAAATAAATAACGACGTTGATTGTTATAAAAACATTAACAAATTAGAAAATATTAGAATCACTTATCACTTTTAATCTTAATTTTGAATTATATTAAAGATAAAAAAGCTATAGAAATAAATTAGAAATTTATTTTCGTAAATGAAAGTTCATTTGTTTGTGAACCATTTTTATAGAAACCTATACTAAAAGGTACTAAAATATCACTAGAGTATTTGGATATATTTAATATAATAATAATACAAATTTATATTTATAAATGATTCAAATTAATACAATTGCAATTATTGAAAACATTATAAATACTAAATAATGTCTATACAAAGTTCAGTTACTATCTTTACTATAAATATTTCTTAGTTGTGAGATAACAATAACAATCCCAAAATGCCATATAATTAGTTATTCTATGTCGATTAATACAAATAAATTAATTCAGTTTCAAAATTGTAAAATTTTAGTAAAAACCTTATAAACACACAATATTAATTTGAATAATATAAATATTCCTGAATTAAAATATGATTTAAAGTCATTATATATTATATAAGGTTACATATTATATAAAGCCATTGCACAAGACGATTATTCTCGGTAAGAAATTTGATAATAATGACAATAATGATTTGACAATAATGATTGAAAAATTTATAAGTAGCAAGTCACAAATGAAAAGATTGATCAAAATCACAAATAACATTTTAAATAATGTAAGATAAGATAAACGTCTTTATAAGTATTCATATGTAGTATATATAATTGTATTATTAACTTTAATATATATACTATTCAAGATTTATATGAAATACAATAAAATGAACAATAATATTTTGTTCTTTATGAAATAATATTTTAAACTATCTGCTATTAATATTTACAAATAAAAATAGTGAAAAACAGTTATATGCTAAATACGGAGATAGTAAATAGTAATATATAGAGATAGTAATGTAGCATGCGATTAATATAAAGTTAAATTTTAAAGTTAAATTCACAAGTAAATTGGTTGCATAATTATATAAAATTTATATTACTTTTAACGTTTTATAATAATAATGTAATAACAAAATATTAATAATTTTTTTATTTCATAAAGTAACTAAGCTCAAAGAAAAATCAGATTTATTATTATATTTGTTGATTATATTGCATTCTTAGAATGATAATGCTTATGTAGAGTAATATTATTTAAATAAAGAATGTTAATTATGCTTCCCAAAGAAAGTGTATGAATTTTGTTGTACATGTTTCTTTTTTATCTTGAGTTATATAAATATATTAATACTAAATACATAATTTTTTTTATTGTTCATTATTCACCAATCCTTTGTTATTATTTAAAAAGGTAGAATGGATATTATATTTTATAATATTATTTAGTAATGTAAAAATTAAATTCTAGTAATTATATTAATAAAATTTAGAATATAGTATTTTATAGTAATTACGATATTTGTTAAGCAATCTTCTTACCAATATTTCACGCAAAAGAACGAAAAAAATTATATAGAAAAAGAGCGCATATTATTTTAAAGCTCAATATAATAATTAATGAAAATATAAGGTTCGAACAACTTTTAAATAATTCATAAAAATATCTCAGAAAAGAGAAAAGGCAAAACATAACATTATGAAAATTAAAACATGCTACGCAGTAATATTATCTTGAAATTATATTAAAATTATTTTTTTTTAATTTAAAATTTTTTTTTTCATTTAAATTTTTCAAACTGGCTGCTGACTTACATTATACTTATCTTTAAAATTTATGATTATCTTTATAATAAACTTTATAGTTATCTTTAAAATTTTGTTAACATTCTATTTGCTTCAAAATAGCAAAAGATAATGTACTGATTTTTTATACCAATAAACGAATTAGTTTATTAAAGAAATTAGATTTTAATTAACGGTTGTGATTAGTTGCAATTTATAGAATTACGCAGTAACGAATAATTTACGAGAAATTTAGGTTTTAATGTTAATTATGAGTGTAAATTTTACTCATCATCACGATTGCTGTAGATAGTGGTCTTCACGAACACATAATTATTAATCGACGTAGATCGACAATTTTAAATAATATAAATATATAAATATAATATAAATTTGTCTAGTAAAATAGGCAGACAGCATTGTATGCATTGTATACGTATTTCTAAGCACATATGATTTGCTTGTATTGTATAAGTTAAAGTCTAAATTAAAAAAAAAGATTTATTATAATTTTGTATCAATACATTGTATTTTTTAAACGAATGTTAATGTCACCGTATGCACATAAGATAAATAATCGGCAACACTGTTCAATGTATTAAAGATAATATTATTTGATTATAATATTTTTATTTAAAAATAAAAATTATAAATATGAACTAACTTTTATAGTATTGTGGTGAACAATTCAATATATAAAATTTCAGAAAAAGTTTTTCTGAAAAAAGATATTAATGCGGCATTTTTAGTGATTGGTTTAGGTATTGGTCATTGTTTTTAAAACAATCTTTTAATACATATATTTTTATAACTATTAGTAAAAATATCTACAAAATGAATCATTACATTAAATTGTTTGAATGGATAAATTATAGAATATATCGAAAAAGTTTTATAGAAACGATAAATATTTGACCGACATGCAAAATAAGTTGTATTTGAATTTATACAAAAATTTAACCTATAAATCTCTAAGATCTGTAACATTTTCCCAATTTATTGTAGCTCAATCATTCAATGTGTATTAACCACGGAATAATTGCAATTTATTATTTTCTTGAGAGTGCAATATATGAGTATTGAGAGTAGATGAAAGTTAAATAGTCTTTTTTATATCATTAAATGAACTTCATTCTTATAATTAACATTTAATCTAAAGGAAAGAATACCGCTTTGATGCGTACTGCAAAGTATCTTTCGTCTATGTAATTTAAAAATTAGAGAGTTTTATCAAATCAAGATAATTTTAAGAAGTATAACTATATTTGGAGTTTTTAATATAGTCTTAAAAACATAATTTATACGTTATTAGGGAATTAGTCAAATAATGTTAGTTTGGTTGTGCCACCAATGAATTGATTCTGTTTCGCATCTATATGTAAATTGTAATAAAATTAATTTATATAAAAGATTTATACATCTTCATTGACGAAATGTCAAATAAAATTTCAGCGTAAATACAAATGAAAATATCTTTTCCTGTTACTGTATGTTGAAATAAAAGTGTTGTCAAAATCAATATATTCGAATTAATGTATAAAATAAAATTGCTGACTAGAATCCTTATTTATTCAATTTAATTTCATTAATTGCTTAATCCATTTTTTGCAGACTTTATATAATTTTTTAGTAAGCTGATTAATTAACATCTACATTTTCTGTTTGCAATTAGTTTTAGATTGTCTACTAACACTATAAAATATCGATGTTGGGTAGATTAAAAAAAGACACATTCTCTCTACGTTAAAATCTTATGGGTTATTGGTTTGAAAAACTCTTGAGATAATAGAAATTTGAGAAGGCGTGCAATTACTAAAATTTTTCCTCTTCACAAAATAATTGTATAAAAACAGTATTGAATTATTGATTAATTAAAGTTTTATTTTTTTATTTGTACCTGTACTGTATTTCCAATACATATTTTGTAACCCAAATTGTATAATCCAATTTTATTTCATCCGTCGCTATTATTCTCAACATATGACTTGTACTTTAATTTTTCTGGGCTGAAAAAAGCATGCATATCACACATTTAAATAATTTGTGGTCTGCCACAAAATTATAAACATTTTATTTTTGTAAATTATATAGCATATAATAATATAGTTAAATATTACACGAATACATTTTTTGAGAGTAACAACAAAACAGTAACTATCAATTAAAATTTATCGATGATATTATTGATTGTAATGTGGATTAAAATATTTATTACAACATTTAATGACCTATCAATTATTATAGTATACGTAGTATTATAATCATCGTAACAATGTTTGACTGACATTTTAATACTTAAATATGGAACATCTTGATACATTAAATGAGAACCGATTGATCTTTAGTAGAATTTAGATTATTGAAACTATAAACTAGTACACTTTACTTTTTAATAATACTTTATCATACTTCGGAAAACGTTGGTTAGGAACGAACTATCCAATTTGATCAAAATTGACTGAACGATTTTATAGCATTTTTTGTGCCTTTGTAATATATATATATTATAAATTATTAAATAATATTAATAATATTTTTGGTATATTAAGAAATTACATTAAAACTAATACAATGTAAAATTATTGGATTTATTTGAAATATTACATAACGAATATTAAATTTTTAAGAAATATTTAACGAATTCTATTAGATTATTTTTTTTTTTAAGATTGCTGGTTAATAATAATATATATTAAATTACTAATTTGAGAAAAGTCAATATTTTTTTATTGCTTACCTTTTTGTATCTGACCATGTTCGGCATTCATTTTAGCCTGTAACAGAAAATGCTGCACTTCAACAAGTAAAATAAGTACTTATTGTTTTAACTGAAATAGACGATTACATATTTTTTCTTTTAAAAAAACTCACCTCATATCCTTGTTTCGCTCCCCTCGCACTGCTCCAATAATCGCTTTCTTTGTCATGTGGATTACATTGCTAAAAAATGAAAAACTAAGAGTAAGTAACAAACTAAATAACCAGAACTCAAAAAAATTAACGGATTAAGATTTTACTTCAATTATTTAAGTTTTTTTTATTGATTGATATATTCGAAAAATAAAAAATTTTCAACATAATGTTTTTATTTTGACTAAAGAATAAAAATAGTACCATAAAAATTAACATAAAAAATTAATCTACGTCTTTATGTAAAAAATAATAGTGTTATCTATATTTAAATATAACTTTTATATCATAAATTAAAGTAGTTAAAATGTAGTACAGATTTTAAAGAAGAGTTGTAAACGTATAGCTTTGCAATTCTTGATGAAATAATGTATACAAGAAAAATAATAGAATAGGATAAACAATGAAAATTTTAAACCAATATAATACTGTAAATCGTAAATGTCTGTAAAGCCAGTAATAATTTTTTTAGTATATAACATTTAAAATATTATTTCAAAATTGTTAATTTGAAATAGAGTCAATATAATAAATATTATCAATTATAAACAAATAAATACAATAAATACATAAATACTAAAAAATCTATATTTCTATATATTATATTATTTCTTATAATACATAAATGAAAAGGAGAAACTTATTATTTATTTAATAAAAGACTGCATTTTCAGTAATTGCGATAACTTTTTTTAAAAAAATTTGAGTTTTTAATTATATTTTTATACTTGCAAAGTTTTTACATAAGATTTTATTTATAATAATTTATTTATAGTATATTATATAAAAATGATCATTTATTAATAATATATTATATAAAAATAATAATTTATCAATAATATTTCAATAATTTTTCATCAATATTTTTAAAAAATTTCCTGAATTTCCTCAAACGGTTGTTATTAAAACAGTTTTCATATTTAAAAATATACGTAACACGGTTTATTTTATAATTTAATAAGATTTATCAAACACTTTTATTTACTTTTTGCATACTTTCATTTACTACTAAAGTAAATTTAAAAAACAGACATAACAAAATATTTCATAAATGAGATGCTATGTCTTTACAAAATTTTTCTGAGCAATCATGTAAATTTTTTAAGAACGCGTATTTGCTTTGAGACCTATTCTGTAAAAGTCTGACCCAATGTATGCTTAGGTTCAAGAATAGCCTTAGAAAGTATAATTGTTTTGCAATGTTGCATTTTACAATGATACAAATGCCTTTTATTATTAGATTATTAAAGTTTGTGAAATAATAAATAATTCTGGAGAAGTTCTATTATCGCATTACCACTTGCTTAAAAAAATGACTACCATAATGTATGTAATTCACTAAGTTGATAAACAATAATTGATACATATCTGATATAGAAAAGTTCAATATTGGTAAAATATCTTTTATAGATGATATATACTTACACGTATACATATACCGGGGTTCGTTTAGCTGCTAAAGTGTCAGTTTTTCACTTACTCTCATGTTCTCAGAGTCTTATGCTACAGGTGGCTCTTTTACTCAATACAATCATTCGTCTGAGAAAATTCTAAAAGACGCCGATAGGCCAAAGATACGCATTTTTAGTAGGAACCTAGTAGGAACAATGATGAAGGATAGGAATAAGAAGGGAACTAGTCTTAAAAATATAGATTAAGAAAAAAGAGAGAGGATGCAGAGAAAGATGAGACATTATTAATTAAATAAATTAAAAATTGAGTGATATTCTCTCAGGAAATTTTAAATAAAAAATGAAAATAAAACGAGTTCCATTTGTTATTAAATTAAATTTTGCTTGCGAGATACATATATACTTCATAGGAATTTTGGTCAATTAAAATAATGAATAATTAGTACATATAAAAGTAATATCATATTTTGTTATTAATCTAATATAATATATTATAAAGAATTTAGGATTTTTTTCTTTGAATTATAGAATATATATATCTTATTTTTTATTAGATATTTGTAAATGAGTAATTAAAAGAAAATTTTTTTCAATTTTTAATAGATTAATTTTCCATAAAATTATGGAATTTGTACGTAAATAATAATTTAATTAAATTTTTACATCTAAAGAATTTTTTGTTGTTAAGAACTAAAAACAAAAAGAGTAAATTCGAAGCTACTGAATAAATGTGTACAGAGCTCAAATCGATAAAAACGCTTATGTAAATGAAAAAAATGAAAAATAAAAACAAAAGAAAACTGCTCCACATCATCTTACCTCGACTACTTTTCTTTTTATTGCTTTCTGTCTCCTCTATTTCTTCCCACCTCAATGTTTTATCTATAATGTCTTTACATACTTTCAGTTTTCATGCTTTTCCTATATTGAAAAAATTATATAAAAAAATGTATATGTACAATATTTTTTTGGAAAGATTGAAACGCTTCAATTAGATTTAAAAAGACAAATATCGTAATTATAAATTTAAAACAAATTTATTAGCCTTATTTATAAAATAATCACAATAGTGAAAACAATATCATACATTATATACAATAATATACAATAAATTTTCATGAGATTTGATTAAATTGAAATAAAAAATGATAATTTAATAAAGACAAAAATAGAAACAAATGTAGAAATTAAATAAAAAGAAAAAAAATATATATATATATATACAATGTTGAAAAGAAGAATGTATTACAAGCGCTATTGATTGGTAAACATAAAATAAATATGGATAGAAATAAATAAAATAAAACTTAGTTAAAAATCATACAACAGAGAGTAAAAGCAGGACAAATAATAATGTAGATAAATAGAAATATGTAGGAATTTTTTTTAATATGAAAAACTGGTTTGACGGAATCGTTTTTTCACATGATTACAACCTTTGTATTATATATTTTGCAAGTTACTATTGATATAATAGTGTTAGTAATAATATAAGAAAAAGATGAAATAGCGAGAGATCTATCTAGAATCTGATTTATACAATCGCCATAGAACTCAATAGCACTGATATTTTACCTCCTAATAGTTGGAAACACAAGAAGTTTCAATCTCGATCTTGCTCACTCCATTTCCTTTTTTTCTCTCGACCCTCCTTATTTTATCAATCCTCTCTCTCTCTCTTTTTCTCTTTCTTTCTCTCTTTCTTCCCACCTCACTTCCATACATTTTCTTTCTTTATTCTCTCTCTCTCTCTTGCATTCATCTTCCTCTTTCATCTCACTTCATCCTTTCCTGCTTCTCAGTTTAATTATACATCCTTGAGTTTTGTATAAAAAGAGGGAGTAAAAGAAAACAAGGTGAAAAAACAAGTGAACACACATACAAAAAATCATAGAATAGACAGGAAAAAAGACTGCGCTTGCGCAAGCGAAAAGAAGGGTAAAATATTCATTGGTTTCTTATTAATAATCACGAATATGTTTATAAACATAAGTGTTATCCATATACATGCACGAACAAACTGTTATATCTATTATTGCTTTTTCTTAATCAATAAAAACTTTCACTAGTTTACTATCTTTCCTATTCATACTTTTTGTTTATATTTTTCTTTTTCTTTCATATTTTAATGTACTTAAATATGAGCATAAATTTATATTTTTTCTGTTAATCTTTCTTTTTTATTCCTTTTAGTTACATTTTTGTAAATTCGTTATAGTAATGTAGCCACATGCAAGAAAAGTGCAAAAAAGTGAAGGAATTATACAATATAAGGAGAGTGAAGAGAAAATGAACAATTATTAAAAATACAAAACAAAATAAGTAGCAAAACGAAACACTAAATGAGAAATGAGTATAAAAAATTCAAGATCTTTGAAAAAACAATAAAAATAAATTCGATTATCCAGGAAAAGGACAGTTAAGGTAGTAGTAACTGCGTAAAAGTGAGAGCAAGAAAAAGAGAAGAAGAATAGAGGAGAGAGGAAAGCAAAAATCGTTTAAAAAGAGGCAAGGATTAAGAAGAGAAAAAGAGAAAAAAAAAGAGAAAAAAAAGAAAAAAAAAGAAAAAAGTCAGGCACCATGCACATGCGTAAGCGTCCATCCGAAATACGAGCTGCGACGTATTGATCAGCTAAAGAGCGCCACGATGCCGGGCGTCCTTTCTGTGAGCCTTGCTTTTTTCAGTATTCTGTTTCTCTTATATCACGGCCACCTTCGCGAATATTATTGTTTCTCCTTCTGATTCTTGTACACGCGCGCGCACACACACACACATACATACATACAAATAAACAACACAAACACAAACACAGACACACATATATATATCTCCACAAAGATTATTAATTATAATGCTACACAATTTCGCTTAACATGTACTTCTTTTTCAAAGAATGAAAGATAAAAAAGTGAAACATTATGAAAAAAAAAATAAAAGATTTTATCGTAATGTCTTAATGTAGTGGATAATAAACATAATGGCACTATACGCGCAAAACTTATTCCTCTTCATGGGTGCTGTGATAATTGGATTGTCAAATCCAAACTTATTAGAAATAAAAAGTGTCTTTTTTCAAACATTGGAAAAATATTGTTATTTATGGAAACCTTGATTTCATTGTTTGTAAAAATGTCTTTCATTTCTAATTTTTTCTAAATATATATTTTTTCATAAATAATTACTCTAGTTTTTACTACATATTATTTGCCTACATAATAAATTAATTTTTATGCTTAACTTCCCTAATTAGCTCGAACCTACTTACATTATAAATTATTGAAACATAACGTTTGTTATAGTACATTTGTATATTTTACAAGCGATTATCCTAAATAGTTTTATGCAATCAATAAATTTATGTATTATTCCATAAAGGCAAATTCATTTATGAGATGTTAGTTTTTTTATAGATTATTTAGGTCTTTGTGGAATATTAAAAATATTTCTAAAGTTTTTAAAATTAATTTATTTCTTTTAATCACTTTTCATTAAAAAAAGAGCAACCTATCGTTTTTAATATAAACTATACTGGGTTTTAATCTTTTTTAATGATATTCTATTCTCTTTGTAAAGTAAATATTAGAATAAAAAAAAGATTTATCAATGATTTAAACTCA